GGCTGGGATTATACCCTAAAACGTGCATCAATGATGATTAAACCGAAAGGTCCAGCAACAACGATGACAACAACAACGGTATAAACATTGAAACTGTGTAAAATCTCGTAGAATGTTAACTTAATTAAAATTTCTTGCAATTATTAAATAACAGTTTTGCACATAGTACATGAATTTATTGCAAATACATGATCATTATTATAGGCAATATTTTCTCAATTATATTTTATTTACTGCACCTTTAATTGATTATTTTAAAAAAGATAGTGATTCATAAATTTTTTTCTTTTCGGTATAATAAACGTATATTTATGTATTTAGAAATAAAAGAAGGGAGAAAAAATATATTTTATCTTTTATAAAAGAAAAATGTTTAAATAAAACATATTAACATTCTCATATATTCTTTATCAATTTGAATATATTGCTCAATACATATCAAAATTGTAGATGATACAAATAAATATACATACAACGCGCACGCCTGTGTATAGAGCTAAAATATTTCACGTTATTTCTTGACTTTCTGTTTCAAAAAAGCTTTTTGCTTTTTCTGCTTTGCTTCCATACGCATATCTTCCAAGTCTTCCATAATTCCTACAAATGTTTAATTTTACATTAATAAACTCTTTACATATTTTATATATATATTTATAATTATCCAAATAAAACAGATTAGCACTCTATGACAATATTATTTTATTGTATTGTAATGTTGTGTACACGAGTGAATTTAAACATGACAAGACTAAGTAAGATTCAGTCGACATAAAGTATCTTCAATGTAAGTATCTTAATATTTCACAATTTTATATTGTGAAATATCTTCCATAAAACATAAATTCTTGTTATCTACTTTACAGTTTGAATCTACCATTCCGCAATTTTCTACTTTAATCACATTTCTATATACATTTTGCACGTACATGATATAATAAAATAATATTGCTAATAATAAAGAGTGCCAGTTTATTTTGGACAAATATAAAAAATATATTAGTTGAGTTATCATGAATATATACCTATTTTGGCAGACCTGTATTCTTCTTTCAACTGCTGTGCAAAATTGCTTTCCATAGCAGTATCATCTTCATCGTCAATGTAATTATATTTACTTCTATCATAGCCGAATATTTCACTAATATGTTTACTATAATCTTCTATGTTTTCCTCTGGTTCATCATCTATAAAATCATTCATATCTGAGTCTTCGTCGTCCTCGTTGCCATTGTCACAGATTCGTCCTATAAGATTCAAAATATTTCGTATAAATAAATTGTTTGACTTTCAATTAAATTCTTTAATTGTAAGATATATAATTACTAGTAAACTCACGTTTATTGGATACAAGTGGTCTTTTAACTTTTTTCAATTTCATGGATATATCGTCGGATTGAAGTAGTTGTTTTGGTTTATTATTAATTAATGACGAATATAACTTTGAATCCGAAGATGGGTTTTGCCGTGGCTTTATATCCTTTGCTGGCACTTGTTTATCTACAGTTTTCAATTTAGCCATTACTTTATTAGAAGAATGAGATTTAATATTTTCCTGTTTAGTTTTACTTAGCGCCAACTTCCTTTTTTCCTCCTCGATAGCGCGTCGCATTTCTTCAAGTTCTCTTTTTTCAGCTTCCAATTTTTTTCGTTCTTCTAATAAATCATTCTTAGATGGGCTTTTATTTGAGACAGATTTTTCCGCACTATGTTTGTCACTGAATTTGTCTATTGTCTTTTTAGAAGTAGCTGTTATAATTTTAGGAGTAGCTGTTATACTTTTAGGAGTAGCTGTTATACTTTTAGGAGTAGCTGTTATACTTTTAGGTGATGTTGCATTTGAGATCTGAGATTTTTCGTTACTCTTAAGAACTTTGTTTAATTGTGGTTTAGTAGATTTACTGGGTGTATTGGTAATGCTTGTTTTTTTATTTACTTCAGTATCTTTCTTTTCTCGTTGCGCTCTTCTTTCTTTTTCCTGTATATATTCTTCCTTCTGACGTTTTGTCATTAGTCGTTCTTCTTCAATTTTTGGTTTAGCTTCTATAGCCACAGGTTCATACTGTTTCTTCTCTGCGAGCTTTAAGAGTTCTGCAAAACCCATAGGCGGTGGCAGTGGTTTTTTCTTTTGCTTAGGTTTTTCGTTTATATCTTCTTTGATGTCGTCGTCACCATCGTCCTGTGTTTTTTCTTCAATGTTAGCTTCTTTTATCTCCAAAGTGCATGATTTCCTCTTTCGTCTATGCCCGTTACTTTCCTCAAGTTCTTGTTGCTTTAAAGCTTGCTTTACTCTGTCCTGTAACATATAATATTTAATTATAAAATAATATAACATAAAATATATTAACTTTTCCTTCTATACTGTTAATAGAATAGCATTTTTATATTATTTTTTATTTTCCGTTGATAAAAACTCTTTTCTATCGTGAAAAAAAAAAAATTATTTAAATACAATACTACAAAAAATGCGTAATTATCAAGTAAAGAGTATAAAGAATAAATAAGATATATATATAATTTCCTTAAAATTGAGGTTGAATCATATTAATAGTGATCAGTACCTTTGTAGATGCAATATCCTTTATTGTTCTTTTTTCGCTATTGGTAAAAATGAACTTTTCTGAAGTTGAACTATTATTATATTTGTTCATCCACTGAGTGTACAATGCAGATGCTGCTTGGGATTCATATCCATAATCATCTTCATCAGGCTGAGAAGGACCTATAAATAATATTTGATACATAAATATAACTGTTTACCACAATATATGCATTAGAAGACTTATTTTAAGAATTATCACTTCAAGCAATTGATGATATCATTTCAACATTATATAAAAATAAAGTTCCAAATGCCATAAAAATTTATTGTACACTTGTACAAGATGTTTAAAGTTTTCAAAAATAAGTATCAAGGAATAATATTGAATGAAATATAAATAGATATAAATAATATATAAAAATATAATCACAAAAAATATAATATATCATAAAAGGATAAGAAAACAATATCAGATAATTTAAATTGAACATCAAAAAATAAGAATATCTTATTTATTTAATACTATCATCATTACGTTTAGTATAAAAGAGAATGAAATTAATATGATATGCATTCAACACTACAATTAAAGTATTAGTATTAGTATTAAGTAAAAAAAAAAAAAACAAATTAAATATGTAATTTATGGAATTATAAAAATATTTTTAATTCTTACTTTTAATAGGAATTATGAGAAACAGAAGTACACTAAGAAATCTAGAGTAAATAAACAAATATTAATAATATAATATGGTATGATATGATAAGAAATAATATAAATTTTTTTAGAAGATATATATGGCAAGACACGCAGGCACGCACGCACAACGCATAAAAATTAATATTAAAAAACCGAGAGAAATAATAAAGCATCATATATGTATACATTAATAGAACAAACATAAATAAAATTACAGCTCCACATTTCTTTGAATCAAATTTAAAAATACAATAAAGCACTGCAGTAGCACATATTTCATGCTTATGAAATCTCCAGACTACTCTAGGATTAAATGGCTGACCTTAATTAATGTCTTATTATCCCCCGTTGTACAAATTGTTCTGCCTTGATTTGGGATGATTTACAAATAATGCATTGCTTGTAAATATTATAACCTGTGAGCAAAAATGTTGCCCATTATAGATAAGAGCTGTTTCTTTTTAATCAAACTAATGATGATATTATTATGCAAATAAACTATTGCATAATGACTTCAAATAATTCACGTACAAAACAAAAGTAAACTTCTATGCATAATTGGAACTTGATTTTTATATTTGATTCGAACATTGTTTCAATAATAGCTTATTGTACTTAAATATACTTCAGATGAAAATGTAAAACAGAACAAAACTTTGTTTAACCTTTATACAAATATATTAGCATAATATAAAAGTTGATTATACATTTGGAACTATGATATTACCTGCCATAGTAATAGCTGTATTTTCTCTGTCAATTGCATCTGCAATCACTGATTTATTCGCTGCTTTACACACTTTCAAATGCTTATTTATGCGACTTTGAGTTTTGTGATCCCGTAAAGCTAAAAGATTCTAGAGAACAATTAAAACTTCTTTAATATAAGGTTAAATTTAAAGTACAAAATATATTTGAAAAATAATCACTGATGGACCATAAAAAAAACAAAAATGGGTAAACCAAAAATTGTTATACATGAAAAATATACACAAGTATAGTAAATGGCTAAGCTCATTAGTGGCAGTTTTTTTTGCAAAAGTAATTGATAATATTGTTTTTCAATATGACACATCTTAATGACAATTACACAAAAAAGTAATTGATGTATGTAAATATTTTTCGTATATATTATTTGTATATTGCATATGCTACTTTTTTGTTTATCATACTTTCAAAGATCAATCCATTTATAGATTACAATAAACTACTCTATGTAGATTATTTGCAAACCAATATATTATACCTCATCATATATTTTACTTTAATAAAATTACCTCTTTCTTTCTTTTTTCTTCTAGAGCTTTCTGCTTTTCTTCTTCCTCTTTCCGAGCCAAAAATTTCTTGATATTATCAGAAAGATTTTTAGACTGTTTACTCTGTTTCTTTGGTGGTGCAAATTTTGTTTGATAGCATGGAGCAGTCTGTTAAAAAATAATATTTTAAAAGAAATTACTTACATCAAAAAGTTAACATAACCTAATTATTCCAATGTTAACTATACACTTTCAAGTATAATGATAAATATGCAATATGTATTGACAATATAGATTAACCTGTTTTTTCGTTTCATTTTTCTGTGCGACTGATAACAAGGCGCCAAAATCCATCTTGTTGAAATAATCGATGACTTATTACACCGTATGTTCTATTCGCACTAAATGCATATTATGTTACACGTCACTTGATCGTATATCCATCAACAATATCTGTATAAATATGTTTTCTTTATGCAAGATGATCAGTATAAATTAGTCTTAAAAAACATGAGAACTTTTATACATTATTTGTACAACACTATCGTATATATCATAAACAGTAACACGTAGCACTAAACACTGCTAAATATTTCATACAATTTATACTCGACGGATCGAGTGATGGAAATGATCGTCATTTGCATTTGTCAGCACAGCTATCTATAAATGTGTTCGTAATATTTGTTAGAGAATTTTGCTTGGAATCTCATTTTTAAGTTGTCATCTTTCTCTTAATGCGTTAGGAATTTTTGTCTAGTGTTCTTAGGTTGTCTCTTTTCTTTTTAAGTTTGATAGGACATTTTGTCTAGGGTTCCTTTCATGTTGTCACCTTTTTCCAAAGCCTTGCCTTAAATTTACTTTATATATAAATTACGCACATATTCTTCCGTACTAGATAAGCGCACTCAATTATTGTAACTGATTGTAACTGTCATTAAGAAATAGCAATGGAAACTACGTTTCAGAAGCAATACAAGCAGCAGTCCTTTTTATCAAGCGTGCCCTTAAACGCTGTCTTCTTCGACTTGGATAATACTCTTGTGGAGACCAGGAAGGCGGACAATCAAACTTGTCGTAAGGTACGAAGAGTATGCTCCTAACCTACAAGCTCAATGTGAAATTTGAGACAAGATTCGTTCTTTCGACATGCTTGTTTCGAAGTTAATCGCTATTATAAGAGATTGTGGGAGTACACGCGCGCATCAGTTCTCATGATAGTCGTGCTCTCCTACCTGTTCCTATTCGCACTGCAAGAATGAAGTCACTGTCGCCAGTTCGCCTATCCCCTTCCCCCTCCCTCGTGTAATATGAGCCGACTCCCTGATATAGCGTGCTTTCTTTACGACGCTGTGGTTATTTTCAGCGTCGCATCCTTCTCCGAATTCTTGCACGGTTTATCATACTCCTAGGACAATTTTTCATTTTTTAACTGCATTTTCTTTATTGCATTTCTCACCTACTTCTATCATACGTAGGTAGATGCGCATTTATTGGTACGAAAAGTGCTGAAAAGTGCAACTAGAAACGAATAAAGGGCAATGCGGCGTGAAGTTTGCACGGATCGAATCGAGATGTCCTACTTAAGAATTGTAAAAAAATACCTTTTGTTAACCTCTTGATTTAAAAGAGAACATTAGGTGAACGTACAACATTTTTATTTTAAATAAAAACGAAAGTAAGCGATTTGACTCGTATATGATATTGTTTCAACATTATTGATAAAAGTTGTAAAATAATTTTAAGGTTATTCACGAGACGGAATTCCCAACAAGACGCAGTTTTAATAACAGAGCAAATGCTAAGCGAACGTGTATACATGTATGCGTTATTCGATGGTTATTTTTGGTTACCTTGGTGAATGTGTCAAAGGGCAAGGCTAGGTAGCAAGAGGACTGTTCTGGGAGCTCCGCCAGTTAGCTCTCGATTATACTACGCGACGGACGGTGCGCGCTAGCCGGTAACGCCTGCTAATAACATACACAATTTTATAATTTATTCTCAACGTTTTGACAACATTGATGACATCGATATATTGCACCGGAGCAATAATATAAAATACACATCCAATTTCGATAAAGACAATTCATTTTTTTCTTGTTTTACTAAAATAATCTAACAATGAGTGTCTCAGAGAGTGTCACAAAGTGCGTGGCCATACTAAAAGCAGTGGACACAGACTCTGAGAAGTTTGCTGCACTGTTCATGGTCACCAAACTTGTAAATGGCAAAGATTGTACGCCAGCTGCCAAGAAGATGCTTTTTGAAGCCATTGGAGCTAAATTCCTCAGGAAGTTGCTGTCTGCCAAAAGTGATTGTCCACTGCAGGTGGACTACAAATCAGTGGCGTTGTCAATTCTTTCCGCATTTTGCAGAGAACCCGAGCTAGCTTCTCATCCAGACATGGTAGGACATATTTCAGCGCTCCTGGAAATAGTGTCTCAGGCTGATGAGGATGCACCAGATGACACATTAATAATTGTCAGTGAAGCTTACAGCTGCTTGCAATGTATCGCCCAACATCCTCCTGGACAGAAGGCATTGCTTGAGCAGAGAGCAGTTCCAAAGATGTGCGATATATATGCAGAGAAAAGCTTTCAAACAGATGAGGCTTTGAATATTCTAGTCACATTGGTCAGTAGATTTGGATCAGAAGCTTGGGATCCGACGGACATCGCTCCTTTCCACGCAATAATCAACAAAATAGCCTTGGACTTTGAAACTGATCACACAGAGAGAAAATTCGAGCTATGCGCTATTCTACAAGCTTTGTTACAATCTTGTAGAAAGGATGTGATATCTACAACCGTGAAGGATGAATCTTGGCCGTTGAGCATTCACAAGGGTTTGAGCGATATTCTAGGATCGAAGATAGGCAAGAAGCAGCGAGATCCAGCTTTGAAGTTCGCGTCTGTAACATTAGATTTGCTGGGGGCGGAATGGGCCATATCTGATAAGGAAAAATCAAAAATATTCTTTTTATTGCTCATTCAATTAGCGGCGATCGAAGTCAGAATGCAATTGGAGGACAAGCAACTCAAAACTATACTTGCCAACGCCGACTTGGTCACTGCTTGCTTTATTATTCTCGAGGTTTCAATCAGCTACATTGTTACAGATCAGCTAGATTTAGAGCAGAAGGAGAAACAATCTTTATACACAGCTCTAAAAGGTTCTTTCGCGGCTATCATTGGTTTGTTGAGCTCTGTATCAAAGATGAAAACATTGGTGGATGTGAAGGAAAAAATGTTTGTATGCGCCGTTGTAAGAGTGCTTACAGCTTGGCTAGCGCAAGAAACAAGCGCCATGCGCCCTCAAGTTTACGCCGTATTGCCGTATGTGTTGACAGTGGCCAACGACACCTTTTACGCACATCGAAATAGGAAATTGGCTGAGAAGGCCAAGTCCAAAGCTAAAGCGGATGAAGGAACGTCGTTCGGAGAACCGAGCGTTCACGATCCGATGAGCGAGATTGATATATTGAGATTATTGTTACCCGCGCTATGTTATTTGGCCGTGGAAGAGGCTGCTAGGAAAATTCTCCTTCAACACAAGCAAGACGAGGTTCTGTTCGAGTGTCTGTCCTATCACTGGACAATCGTGCACTACAAGAGGCCGCCGGTACCAAGATCGGAACGTTTGAAAGTTCTTCAGGATGGCAATCGCGTGGAGGAGCTGGATCTGCATCTTCTGGAAGAAATGAAAGATTCTAGAACCGCAATGGTATCTGTCTGCAATGTTTTGATGAATATCACCGTGCTGGAGACGAAGCTGGTGGAGGAATCGCCGACGTTCATCTCATTGCTGAAGTTCATCTACAATAATTTGCCAGAGCTGAAACAGATTCCGGAAAATCTGGTGTTGCACGGTCACCTGGCCGTTTTGGGCTTGTTGCTGATGAAGCAACAGGCAAAACGCATAAAGAAGAACGATTTCTCGATATGTCGATACATCCAAGCTACGATAAGGTTTCTGTGGGACGCGTACATTATCGACGAGAGCAACGATCCTACTGAGCTGGTAGTTTCCATGTCCTACAAGGAACACTGGATGGAACTGATGGAACTCTGGTTCCTGGGTATGCAGACGATGGCTGGTGTACTGCTAGTGATACCCTGGCTGTCGCAATTTACGGTAGAATCTGGTTGGGTGGAGGAGATCATCGAGACGTTGAAGCGAGTAAAGATTGGTGGCTTGGAGCCGAACGTCAAGTCCGCCTTCGAAGATTTGCTGTGTCACTTGGTGAAGGCCGACGACAGTGTCGCATCGGTGCTGAAGAAACACGGCGCGTTGACCGTCTGTCGAAATCATCGTATGATGGAACTTGGAAAGCGTCTCTTTGGCGATTAGAGACGAAAAAATATTACGGTGTAGCTTTTGGCTTTTGTTTTGTGCAAACAATATTAAGAAACAAAAACTAAGCAAAATTTCTTATAGAATTAATTATTCTTGTAAAATTAACAATAGAGAGAATTAATCGATTTTTGAGGGAAGCATCAATTGAACTTTTTTTATACATGAAAAAAGCTTTCGTAGTATTTTGCGAATTGAATTTATTATTGTACGTGTTCTCTGCGTTGTATGATATTCGAAAGGCGTATGCGCGGTTAGTCCAGTGTAAATTTAGACTACATCACATCTGGAAATAGTTTTCTGGCAAACAGGAAAGCTAAGAGCGTCTCGCTTGGAAGAGATTACAAATTATGCATACGAACATCGCTGATTTTTAAATCGGGCTTTAACAATTTGTAAACATATTCTACGAGCAATTTACGAGCTGTAATCAAGTATGTTTTTTTTTTATTACTTCTGAAGATTGTTGTGTTAATATTATTATGATCTTGAAGCACTTTGACAAAGATTTTGTAGACCAGTTTCCTATTAAAATGAATAAATTTTTTAAGCGTTCGCTTTCTGATTTTATCACCAATTTTATCCACACTATTATTGATACGCTTAGCGTTTAATAAAGTTGTTTTTAACAAAGATATTGCAGAAAGATTACTGGATAGCAGATGCAACCGATTTCACGTGGCAATTATGAATTTTATGTAGCGTTATGTATAAATTGTATTCCAACGTTTTTCAAAGACAAATTTATGTTTTAGAATTATCCAGAAATCTTTCAGCCATAACTCTTATAGGGTTTGGAAATAACATATAATGTTGTTGTTGTTGGCACAACTGATTTTGTTGTGATTACAGCAACGTCCGCGGGTGCCACTTCGAGTGTCCACTAATCGGCTCGAGTATTTCAATGAATCAATGCATTTTCTAGGTAATCATTAATAATGAATTAAGTGCCCTAAAAATCCTTAACTGACCTCTGTGCCCTGTCGCCCTGAGACCTTCTTTGACTAATGAACTCCACATTCAATATTCGTCTTCATTTCATTTACTTTACATCTTGTCTGTTAGAGAGAAGATCGTTTTCTACTTTTTTTTCTTTAACAAAAAGAAACCGTTTTATTTTTTTATGTGAATAAGACGGTCTTTTACGATTTGTGCACATTTTTATTGAGTGTGGAAATTACTTTCATACTCATCTCTTTCTTCAATTCTTCACTCATCATACTTTATCATTAAAACGTTGCACTACAATGAATGCTTATTAAAAAGAATTTTTATAAAATGCATTTATCTACAGTTGGCTGAGGAATTGATGCGAGAATACGATATCCCAGAAGATGCGGCCGTCAAGATAACAGCCGCTTATCTGAAGCAATTTAGAAAATGTCCGGACAACGCAACACTCACGTTGGACACTTGGCGTACTATTCTCTGGAATAAAGCGCTCGGCGACAAATATTCACGTCTAGCGAAAAAAGTTTATGAACGATGGCTCTATTTAAGATACCATTACATGGCACTAACACCGAATACGGTGTTCATGCTACGTCAATTGAGAAAGAAATACGTGCTGGGCTTGATCACTAATGGCCCGTCAAACGCTCAGTGGGAAAAGATACACAAGCTGTCGCTGGAACAGTACTTCGATATCATTTTAGTATCCGGCGATCTGCCATGGGAGAAGCCGGAAGCGGAAATATTCCACAAGGCTTGTCACTTGCTCAACGTGAGACCGAAGGAATGCATTATGATCGGCGACAAGTTGGAGACCGATATTTCGGGTCAGCAAAATTCATTTTATTCATTTTATTCAAAAATTGTCTCTTTACAGAAATATCTGACAAAAAAAGTGTCATATTACAATGAGTTTTTGTAAAACTATTTATGCAGGTGGAATTGAAGCTGGACTAGGCGGGACCGTGTGGATACCTACTGTGGATAAACCTCGTCTCTTGGGTGATGATCCCAAGCCAGATTTTATAATAAGACATGCAACAGAAATTATGCGCATATTGGACAGAGGTCCAAATGCACCGGAACTCGAAGACTGTTCATCAAATGCATCTGACGGTAGTTAATGAAAAGATCTGCGTGATACTAATTCGTTCTAACGCCATGAACAGTCGACTCAATATTTTTAAAGGGTTACTATTTTGCTAAGTGAGGTTTATTAAAATTTTATTTACTGTTGTGTTTAAGCATTATGTTTCTTTTTTTCGTTTTTTCTTTTTTTTTTTTTTGAACGTATATTTTTATGCATATGATTTTTATGCACTCAGATGTAGGCGATGCAAGTGATACGTATTCAAAATTTAATATATTAATTTACTTATAGACATTAAGATGTTTAAGTTTTCATATTATTCATAATATTAAGTTGTCATAATATCGGACAGAGTCCATATAATTCGGAAATTTTTGCAAAACTTTCATATGTGTCTAGTTATATTGAGAATTCAACGCAATATAATTCTGCATATAATTAAATGTAGTGAATGTAGCGGAAGTGCAGCTCAAAAGTAAATGCAAATTATTTTGATAACATTAGATATTAACATTCTTTAGTTTTTGCGCAAACAATGAGAATCTGCGTTGCATTGACTTATTTACTTATTGAATTTTGTCGCAAATAGATGCCAAATGAAGTACACATATTTTCCAGTTACCATCTCCAAGTTAAATAGCCGTATGTTGAATGAAAGGAAAGAAAAATATGTACAAAATGAAATGCGCAAGTACAGTGCCAGTAGCTGTAAATATATAAACAAAACAAAAGATGAAAAATTATATGCAACTATTTTATCCTCTGTATTAATTTAAATTGCACTGTGCATGTAATTTATACATTAGAGATATATCATTTATCATGATGATGTATCGTGTAATTTCTTATTGTACAAACGCAAAACATTTGTATATCTGTACATAGATATGTACAAGAACATTGTATACGTACGTACATGTGTAAATGTACAAGACTTTCATTATATGCATATTTTATTTTTGTTAGTAATTCAGCGGAGATTCTATAAATGACATGACCTAAAAGCGTCACAGACCTTTTATGAAACTATATATAATAAAAGAAATGTATATGAATGAGATAATCATACATGCATACTATGTTTTCCGTATTATAAATTATTAATATCACCACTATCAGACAATGAACAAATTGCATTGTTCTACATGAACAAAAATTTGCACATTTATTTATTTTGCTGCTAATACAATAAGTTGTTCAATAACAATAAATACAAAGGCGACATTGTAACAAACGTTGATTGAAAAAGAATGGTTTTTTACCAATGGAAATAGAAAAGAATATTTTTGAACAATAAAAATATTCTGTTAATGTAAACAGAAATATAATTGTCATGTTTATGATTCAACTTTATCACTTTTCATCTTATCGTCACCTTCGGCCGTATTCTGAGATTCAGTCTTCTTTTTTATTTCTATTGTTTCATTTTGTACAGCTGTGAGATTTAACATTGAAGGGCTAACTTCTTGTTTTACCGAAGACTTTGCTAAATCAACGATAGAATCGTGGATATTTTCGATTGTTTCAGCTCCGGGAGAAGTGCTTACATTGTTATCTCGTAGCTTTTCCAAATTGTCTACCTCCAAATCGAGAAGATAAGCCTCTGCGCCTACCTGCACCTAGAAAGAAATATCGAACGTTGTCTTCCGGACAATAAGATCTTTCAGTAATTACCTTACCGTTCCGGCGAGAGCCGTATCTTTGCTCCTCTGCAGCAGATTCTTACAAATATGTTGGGCCTGTTTAGGATCTATACCCACTTCTATCAATGAAATCAACACGTCTCTCTCTGTAACAAACAACTCGGGATTTGCATCGACTATTGTAACTGATTTGCCAGTAGTGCTCAAAGGTCTGCTTTCAGCTTCCATCATTTTTTTATAAGACTCCAACTTTTCCATCACTTTGTTCTCGTCCAGTACCTTCGGTGGTGTAGGCGGCCTGATTTCGGATATGCTCAACAGTTTTTGCGCATGTACAAGATCCTCCAGCTCATCGTCCGTATCCGAATCCACTATATTTAACGAGATCTTCAACTGGTAGATCTCGTAAAGCATTTTATTCTAGGACAAAGTAAAACAAGCTTGCAAAAAAGATTTTGTAATTTATATTGTAAAAAATAAGATTGATTTAAAAGCATTGCAATAAATGTTGAGAGAGACAGGTAATTTTAAATCATGAGAGAAGAGAGAGACAATATGTTGAAACATTTTTCATATTTACAATAATGTTGTATTTATACCATGTTTAGGATTCCTTTATATCGCTCGATATGCTTCTTAAAAACATCTTGCAGCTCTTTATCAGTGTAAAGACCTTTCTGCATTATCTCTTTGGTGATGTCATAGACAAACTTAATATATTTCTTTTCTTCTTCCTTCTTGGATGAGCATTGTTTTGAAACAATGTAATGGTTAATGGTTTTGTCATCGTAATTTAGATCGTCGTAACTTTGTGAAGCACTTAAGGATGTTAAACGATGATTGTCCGTTTCTTGTATTAGAGATTGTGATTCTGATTTAAACATTGATGAATCTAAGGTAGTAGTTGTACAAGAAACAAAAAGCGGATCTTTTTCATGTCTACATTTTCTAGGGAGCAAAGAAAAGAAAATAATGCCATTTAAGATGTTAATTTATGCTCTAAATAAATAATATTAAATAAAGTATTAAATTATTTAAATTGTGAAAACTTTTAAATTGCTTATATATACAAGCCTACCTCCATTGCGAATAATACGTTGATAGATTGATTGTACGAGGATCTTTCCGCATTGATTTTAGTTCTTTTCCACAAACAAAATTTGGTGCTAGCTTTTTGTGTCTTGCCGAACGTGATGTCATTGGTGACATTGTTCTTTCATTCTTTGACATTAATCGTTGTCGATGGCCTGTTTGATCATTTTCTTCATAATATGTGTGATTACCGCAAATTCTTGATTGATGACGATTTAAATTATTGCAACAATCCGGATGTTTCAAATTGAAATTCATTCTCAATACATCCTGCATCAAAATTTAAAAGTAATTTAAAATGATTAAAAGTAATAGTTTATTAGCTTCAAGCAGATAGACTAACATTTTTTGATAAAATAACAACAAAGTTTAATAATTGCTGAAATCCTTACTTGTTACAAATTTGAATATGCTAATATTAAGCTAAGCTTTACCATTGGATGATGTCGAGTATCATAAGCCAATTTTTCAATCACATCATCTATCACTTCCGGGTGCAAATATGTTTTTTTATTGTCAGCATCTTGCACCTTACATCGTTGATTTTTTTTCAATAAATAATTTTTATTTCTTGTGTCGATCGTACTCTTTGCTAACAAAATCCGTCGTAGATGCGAGTTCATTGAATTGTACGCCACTAATTGCTCGAAATATCCCTGTCCTGTTTGATTATAGGCTATAACAATATACAATAAAATTTTTAACTTTCCATTTGAATACAACATTCTTTTTGACATAATAAATATTCACCACTGCTTTTTAGATTAACCACGTTTCTTGCACATCTTGTCATTTCTGGTGAAAATTCTGAATATCTGATTATATTTTTATATAATTTTTAATAATTATGTTAACGACAAATAATAAATTAAACAATGGCAAACTTTTCTCTTATAAAATTTTGGATAAAATAGTGATGCAGTAACGTAAAATATTAAAAATTTGCCATCTTTAGAAGCTACGCCATATCTGCTATTTATGCATACTATTTATTAGTGTGTTCAAAAATAGGTTTGATTACTGCAAGTAAAAATAATTCAGTTGGCAGCAGTGAAATTTACTGGTGCTGAGTTTCGTTTCTCCCAGCATCCAAATTCAGTATGTACATGATCCATTGAACTATGGTTGCGTTCTTAGAACATATATACTGGAAGGGGCATAGCCTACCTAAATACACATAACAAAAGTGTCCCCTACATCTATCTATCCTTGTCTGTACGAAATCGGTCAATGCGCTTGCGCGAATGAATAACCGCTTAAATTGAAAGTAGAAAGATTTAAAATAGGTGGAAGGCATTTGAAAATTTGATTATAACAATTTATTCTTTAAGTTATATTATAATATAATTGCAATATATTATAAATTATATATAATAATATGTAGTAATATGTAATAATAGTCTTGCAAAATAAATAAAAATAATGATGCACATAACCAAAAACAAATAACT